ATCAGGGGGTGAAATCAGTGGGCATCAGGCCTGGGGACCCCTAAGCGAAGGACTCAGCACAGTAAGCACAAGACGGTGGCAGTGGCCAGTGTTCAGCGGTCACCCCGGGCGATCTTCTGCCTCACTCTGGCCAACCCTCTGCGGCAGTCCTGCATCAGCATCGTGGAGTGGAAGCATCCTGGAAGGCCAGGGGAAGGCCTCAGGGGGTGAGGTCACCAGAGTACCAAGAGTGAAGGATTGGGTCAGGATTAGCATGGATCAAGGGTCAAGTACTGGCTTCAGGGGGAATTTGAGAAAAGTGAAGGTCATTCACCAGGGGAGTCAGAGTCAAGGCCTTGGTCAGGGTAGGGGCTGGGAATGTGAGGGCTGGTCACCTTGGGGTCAAGGGTGAGCATTGGGTGGGGAGGGCCCCAAGGGAATGTTGGGGTTCTAAGGCTGCTTTGCCGGGGTCCTTGACTGTGTCCACTGAGGCCCTTCGACATCCTCATCCTGCTCACCATCTTTGCCAACTGCGTGGCCCTGGGGGTCTACATTCCCTTCCCAGAAGACGACTCCAACACTGCCAACCACAACCTGGTGAGTTTTGCTTCACCATGCCCGCCCTGTCAGATACAGCCCCAGTAGAACTACACCTCAAGCCTTCCAACGAGGCCCTCCCCTCTCTGATCCAGATGACTCACCTCTGCCCAGCCCTCTGTCCTGGCTACGCCCTTTTCCCTACCCCTGTCCCCATCAATCCCCAACCCAAATACCTCCTGGATCTCCGGCTCCGCCCCCAGGAGCAGGTGGAGTACGTATTTCTGGTGATTTTCACTGTGGAGACGGTGCTCAAGATCGTGGCCTATGGGCTGGTGCTCCATCCCAGCGCCTACATCCGCAATGGCTGGAACCTACTCGATTTCATCATCGTTGTGGTTGGGTGAGCGTCTGCGGGCACACCCCCACCCTAGTTCAACTTTCCATCCCAAGCCCGCTGAATTCGGGGCTCAGGGAAGCGACTGCTTTAAATTGCTCCCATCTGGCAGCCAGAATCAGGAATATTTTAAGCCTGTTTGCATTTCCGGTTACAGAGACTTGTGCTTTTCTCAGGAGAGGAGAGGGATGGGAAGGGGTGCCAAAGCCTGACACCCGCCCACGCCTCATACCTTGCTCCCCCATCAGGTTGTTCAGCGTGCTGCTGGAGCAGGGCCCCGGGCGGCCTGGAGATGCTCCGCATACTGGAGGGAAGCCGGGGGGCTTCGATGTGAAGGCGTTGCGGGCATTTCGGGTGTTGAGGCCACTGAGGCTGGTGTCTGGAGTCCCGAGTGAGTGTAACGCCTCCCGGGGTTGAAGGTAGGGAAGGGGAGCGGGAGGAGGACTGAACGGACGCCGCCCCTACTTCACCCAGCCCTCGCTCCCCGCAGGCCTGCACATAGTGCTCAATTCCATCATGAAGGCGCTGGTACCGCTGCTGCACATCGCTCTGCTCGTGCTCTTCGTCATCATTATTTATGCCATCATCGGACTCGAGCTGTTCCTCGGACGCATGCACAAAACGTGCTACTTCCTGGGATCTGGTCAGCCAGCGGGCCCCTCCGGGGACAGGACGCGCCCCTCCACTGCCTCCTGGGCCAGACCGTGTTCTCAAGGAAACCCTAATTCACAAGACTCCGCCCCCAGACTCAGGCTCCAACCCCGATAAACAAGCCCTACCCATATATTCAAGACTCCACCCTCAATCTCAGACTACAATCGCCCACTTGCTAATAGCTCTGCCCTATCACAAGACTCCACCCTCTAGCCACTTAAGACTCCATCCTGCACAACTAGTCCCAGATTTTCAGGCCCTTCATCCGGACCCCAACCCAAGCCTTGCCCCCACCCTTTTTTTCAGAAGCCCTCCAAAATTCACAAGACTCTGCCCCCAGATTGATACCTCACTTTCATTTATAAAATTCTACCCCAAGATTTACAGTCCCACTCCCCAGATCCCTGTGGTTGGGACTCAGCTTCCCAGGGGTTCAGAATCCTGACCTGGCAGAGTCAGGATCTAAGGGTTGTCCTTGATTTAGAAAAATCTAGGACCCTGAGTTGAACGTCCCAGGTGGGCAGAGCTAGAGGGTGGCAGGGAATGCGGGTGGATGTGGTTCAGAGCCCAGAGCCCAGACCCTGTCTTCCAAGCAGAGATGGAAGCGGAGGAGGACCCGTCGCCCTGTGCGTCTTCAGGCTCTGGAGGCTCTGGGCGTGTGTGCACGCTGAACCAGACCGAGTGCCGCGGGCGCTGGGCAGGGCCCAACGGAGGCATCACTAACTTCGACAACTTCTTCTTCGCCATGCTGACGGTCTTCCAGTGTGTCACCATGGAAGGATGGACGGATGTGCTCTACTGGGTGAGGTGGAAGGAGGGCACACAGTTTAGAAGCTGAACCTGCCTTTTCTCCGTGAGCTCAGAGGCAGGAATGTCTGCATGCCCTGAGGGATGCATGTCCTCTCTCTACCCAGATGCAGGATGCCATGGGGTATGAGCTGCCCTGGGTGTATTTCGTGAGTCTCGTCATCTTTGGGTCCTTCTTCGTCCTCAACCTTGTACTTGGCGTCCTGAGTGGGTGAGGAGCCTAGACACTCCCCTCATTCTGCCCCTCAGACTCTGTCACTTTTTTTCTTCCTGGCAAACTCCTAGGCAACCTTCAAAACCCATCTGAAATACCCCACCATTCATTCAGTCAATATTGAGCATCTACTGGGTCCAAAGCACCATTTTAGGAATGAAACAAGAGTCAAAAATCCCTGCCTTCCCAGATATTACATTTGGGGGCTAGGGGGGAGACAAACTATAGCAACATATACAATAAGTAACATATATGTAGTGTTTTATATGGAATATTTCCCATGGAAAGGAAGGAAGCATAAAAATAAGAATAGGAAGGCTTCTGGCCAATTTGGCAGAATAGGAAAAAACACTTGCATATCAATTTTGATCAAATCTACAGTACATTTTGGATTTATGTCACATTTGCAAAAGTTGCAGTTGAAGGTACATTAATTGGTCTTAGGCCTTTCTAAAAGTATGTATTAGTGTAGATAATGAAGACATGTTTGCAAGGCCAAAAAAATAGGAATGGGGCTATCTTGCCGTTAAAATGGGGACAGTCAGGACAGGCCTCCTTGAGAAGGTATTACTGAGTAAAAATGTGAAAGAGATGAGGGAATGAGTCATGTGGCTCTCTGAGGAAAATGTCGCAAGCAAAGGGAACACTCTGTGCAAAGGCTCCAAAGCACGAATGTGCTTGGCATATTCAAAGAACAGCAAGGATGCCAGTGTGGCTGGAATGGGGAAGGCGAGGGGGCCGGGGTGGTTCCTCCACCTCACCCTCTATCCTCCACCCTCAGGGAGTTCTCCAAGGAGAGGGAGAAGGCAAAAGCACGAGGGGACTTCCAGAAGCTGAGGGAGAAGCAGCAGTTGGAGGAGGACCTGCGGGGCTACCTGGACTGGATCATGCAGGCAGAGGAGCTGGACATGGAAGACCCCTCAGCTGATGGAAACTTTGGTTCTGTGGCTGAAGAGGGCAGGGCTGGCCACCGTAGGCAACCCTAATCTGGCCCATTCCCTACTCCATGGGGGCTGCCCTCCTGAGACCCAGATCTCCCCTGCAACAACTCTAGGCCCAGCCCTCAGATGTGGCCTAGGAAACAGAACCTAGATCCAGATTCAGATCCACCTCCCAAATGTACCCAGAACAGATTCCAAATAATCCACCTCCCCCACACACAGCCCTTACCCTGCCTCAGGCCATGGTCCTCAACTGTCCTCCCTATCCCTTCAGGACCACAACTGGCAGAGCTGACCAATAGGAGACATGGCCGTCTGCACTGGTTCAGTCACTCCACCCGATCCACACACTCCACCAGCAGCCATGGTGGGTGTCCATCCTGGTTGGGGAGGGGGCAGGATGGGTAGATGGAGGAGAAAGCCAAGGATGGAAACTTGAGGTCTTCCTGTGCTGACCTCTGTTCCCACCCTGCCCACAGCCAGCCTGCCAGCCAGTGACACTGGTTCCA